TCGAGATTTTTCAGACGGAGCCTTGGATTCTTTCGAAATTCAGTCGGCACTAGGCCCCGTTGGGTGCTAGCGCGGCTTGCTGCTGTGGGCACTGAGAACACGTGACTGCGCTGGATAGCGAGGTCACCTGACGCTGGCCAGCCCTGCCAATCGGAAGGCGCATCGCTCTTCTCTGACAACTCGGCGCTTAAGACTGACCCTCAACAGTTGCAGAATGACAGCTACGCTACCTAATGGGCCAGGATTACGCGCTACTGATTACTTTAACATGATGTATAGTGTACCTGTCATGAAACATTCCTTCAGTTCTGTCTATTTACAGTGCAACTGCTCTGTACCCCACCCTCCATCATGCCCCATAGAAATAATAGTTGGCCGCATACTGCACAGTAAACACCGACTGCATTCCCTGACAGGTCTTCGGGGCTGAACCGGCAACCGTGTCTACTCGATAGACCGCTTCATACTCACCGACGGTACCGTTGATAGTGGTCAGGTACAGCCATTGGACAGCCCCATTGCTACCCTGAATAGCACTCGACGGAGCATCAATCGAGTCTTGTTTCTTCGTGATCGCAATCCCATATTGCCGAGACGCCAGAGTATCCAGGTTAAAAACTGGTGTGGTCGTATCTCTAAAGAAATGATGACCCAAGAGTTCAAGGTTTGCCGGCGGGAGAGGTTCCTCCTCGTTACTGGGCAACTGTTCCTTGTACACTATACCCGGGAGTAACGACAACATGTCTGGGTAATTGGCCGCAATGCAGGTTGCATTGTAAAGACGCGCCACTGCACCTATGGCTTGGGGTGTTGAGCTCGAGGTCGAAGTGGCACAGGTGTAGTTCTAAGGAGAGGGCTTGTCAGTTTGAACGGTTCTCCCCCTGCATTGTTTGTGTGACAGTAGGCGGGTCAGTTTCTGCTTACCTGGGTGCCACGGCCCACAGCCACATAAATTGGGCTCATCCCGGTTGGTGAGGGCAGGCTGGATGCGTATGACGGGAGGGAGATCTTGGATGTGTCGCATGAGTTGACGCTCTTGATGAGCTCTTCTCCCGTGCTCTCGATGTACTTGCTCACTTTTCCGAGGTAGGTGGCTAAGTCTGACGAGTAGTCGTATACGTCGTTTAGGAGAGTTGGTGCTGCCATGGAGCCTGCTGTCAGGCAGCCCAGGAGAAAGAGGCTTGCACGCATTCCGGATGCTTCGTACAAACGTGATGTCCTATTTCGAAGAGATTGGCAGGATCAAAATAGCATACACTGTATGCAAGGATAGAATGAAGTTTAAGGATGGAGAAGTCGAGAGGAGGGAGGTTCTAACGCTGACGGGTATCTCCGAAGATGAATAGCAATCGTGAAGAGTTGAAGGAGAGGAAAGGAAGAGATGAGCTCTCTTCCCTGAGATGAACTAACTATTGGATGGCTGGGAACCTGAAGAAAAGAAGAGAAGGATGCATCCAGCTGGACGAAGGGCTATATAAGAATTATTTCGAACAGACCGACAGCCACAAGAAGGCTTGCATGTGCAATCAAACGCAGTACCACACCGGCCTCTTGAAACCCATCATGTTGTATCTATAAACAGCCTCGACTCACAGCAAGCCTGAAGGCGCCCACAGCACGCACAAGCAATGCGAATCTCCCATTGGTGCAAGAATGGGCGCCAGGCCTGAATCCTTCACGCCTCCAAAAGTGCCGAAAGTAACGGTATACGAGGGTGGGCCACGCGAAACACGGTCGTCTATCCTGGCGACTATTTCTGCAGAAGATAAAGTCGTTGGCGCGCCATGATTGGTATATCGAACGATCGAAGCCTTTTCGACTAACCCTGTCTAGTGACAAGGTTTCATTGGCGCCGACTGTTTAAAAAATGTCCGATCGCCTTTCACCGGCTATTAATAGAGCAGCCCTAATATCTCACCGTGAGGGGTCGGCGCTTAGCTTACTAGAAGCTTGCCAATGCCGGTTAGCCTGCAGATTCCCGTCCACACTCCCCCATGAACAACTTGACGACTACTAGTCTATCTATCCCACCCCCCAGGGTGTGCGTATCCACCGTATGATTTGGCAAATCGGCGATCGCTGTAGGGGCTGGTTATTTTTGGAAGATCCTATCACAATAGGAATTATCTGGGCTTATTATAAGAGAGGCCTGTGCTCGATGCTTAGCTACGCTTCTAGTGTAGGGCAACGGCTGTTATCTTGACCTTGACCATTGTTGAAGTTGAACTTGGGTTTATTATTGCCAATGCTAAACAGATGTGTGATGTAATGCGCGTGGTCAGTGTTGTTTCGGAATCGAAGCAGGTACTCTTCAGAATTGAAGTACTAGACAACCTCGTGGAGATACCATCCGCCACCCCCATACAGCACATGCCAGACGCAGGATGGCCCATCCCCATTTTGAGATAGTGGTTTCAATCCTGCCGACAGGGATTGTAGATTAAGCGGAGATAGTGGTTTCAATCCTGCCGACAGGGATTGTAGATTAAGCGGCATAAAAATAGGAACGGTAGACTCTATACCGGCTAAGTAAGGTTACTAGCCGCAATCTCGAAGCATCTCACGTCACAAGATCTCTATTCTGAGTCTCATGGAAGCTACTGCCGATCCTAATTCCCTCTCAACAACCAATTATGACATCAGGGCGTACAGAGATAACCAAGCTTCTGAGAAAGCACACTGATACTCGTTCTTGTAAGCTCCACCGGAAGGCCAACCCCACAGCTTGTTGATGCCTGGAGATCCCCTTTCCATCAAAAGCAATTCTGCCCTACCACAGATGAGTTGTCCTGACCAGAAGTTCCTCTAGGCACCTACTAACCCGTAAATCAGAACAGAGTCTGTGCTAATAGTACGTCTATTCCCGCAACGGCCGTCTTTGGCCCGAATGCAACCCTCTTATCATGTATAGGACGGGCTCTCAGACATCATCAGCGGCACATTCCGCTTTTCTTGAGTAGCTTCTCCAAATAGCGGAGTCAGTCTCACTTCTGCAGCCATTGCACGACTAGTTCTGACTTCCGGTGTGATACCCTCAAGCCTGCAGCACAGTTGTCACCGTCTCCGCGACGGATCATCAGCTCCTCGGGTCATTCGAACAATCCCCGAAACCGTGAATGTCCTCGCTTCCCTGCTAACCCCCACGTATCATGCGCTATTTCTCGGAGATGACTCCTTTTGTGACTTCGCGTGCATACATAGTGTGGTTTTCTGGATCCATGGCTCGGAGAGCTTTCGGTCTTCGGCCTTGCCGTCTACGTGAAGAGGACCTTGGCTATCATGCGTTATTTTTTGCATTTTGTGGAGTATCAGCTCCGTCTGTCCGTGTCTGATTAGGGATTGATGTATCTACGTTACTATTTATGTAGTTTAATGATGTCACCAATGTCTACGAAGTGGAAGATGTCGATGCTTACTCGGATAGAGCGGGTAAAAGGCTTTTGAAGGTGGTATTGGCAGTGGTACATGTGTTCTGATGAGATAGAGAGACATGCGAGTAGATGAAACCTTGTGTCCATTGCAAAGAACACGGTAGCCCACTAATCCGCCACTTCCAGACACACCCATGCGTAGAGAAAGACACATTAGTGATTCGGTAATATTATCCTTTTGTAGGAGCTAAGAAAAGAATTGGAACCGGACTCCATGCGGATACGACGGAAGCTCTCAATGTTTGCCCCTTTCCTTCACTCTCGACTGAGTAGTTGATCCGCTCGAGGTCTATGGGTGGAAGGTCCCACGCGGTTTGCTGAACCACCGGGGCTATTCTGTGCTCTTCAGGAAGTTGATAATCTGAAGGAAAGCCCACGATTCATTGGGATTGTCTTTTGCATTTTTGTTATGACTTTTCTGTTTCCGTGTCCGTGTAAACTGCTTGTTCAAATCCCTGAACTTGGCAGTTGTCTAGGACTTAACCGGTGTCATTCTTCCAGTCATCACTGGTGGTAAGTCCAAATACTCCCGCATGTTGTCCGGGGATCTCGGACAACATATGGTCGTATGAGCCAATTGGCAGCTTCTTAGCACTTTTCCAATCCTATTCAAAGCTCCTCTAACTGGCATCTAGTTTTTGTAATGAATAGAGCATTCATCCCGAAGAATGGTGGCACTTTGCTAAATAAAATTCCATCAACGGAGCGCATAAAAAGACAATTCCTTTGCAAGATACCTTCTTCGAATTGCAATCACAAGGTGATTCTCGAATCATAAAGCCGTCGTGATATTAATTAGACGGCTACTACACAACTGGTGGGCGTCCCTTCAATGGACTGCTCCCAAATCCATTGTACCTGTGAATCAACATTATTATTTGATGTTTCAGCTTGTTAGAAAAGCTGTAGCATATCAGGTGAAGCTCAGCCAGGTACATATGAACAATCTGCACATCCCAACACGGCCCATGTGCCGTGATTGTGATAATCAATGTTCAATCACAGTAACAGAACGACCAACGTCTCCAACGGCATATCAATCCTACTAGCAAATGGCCCCTTTCAACAGCAATCAGACTATAAAGTATTGCCAGGTGTATACCAAAAGTGTCATCAAAATTTCCGCTTCCCTGAAATATATGGTTATCCAGAACAGCTCATAGGAACTTTGAAAGGCTTATGTGTATACGCATAGAGCTTGATGTCGGAACTTTTTCGTAGGAAATAGCGGTTATCGGTTCGGTTGCTGCACACTCTGGCATCATTTGTCTCGTTAGATCTCAGTTGTTTCTTTTAACAAGGAACATGAGAATTGTTAGGCCATCCGAGAACCAAAACTCGATTTGGCAGGTTAGGGTTAAAGGGTGATGCCTTCCTTTTAGGTGTCCTGCTGAGATAATAACCATTCCTCAACACTTCCTTGATCCCTCCACAGTCCCTGCTATCGTTTATCACGAATATGACCTTCTTTTCTATTATCTTCATAGCTTATTATTACTGACTCTTTCGTCATCTATCCAGAACGTCATTGTCTCCTCAACGGACGGTCCAAGCCCAAATCTGCTCGAGATGGCAGGCGAATGGTTTCGACGAACCCCTGCCCGGGAGAACATTGAGGCAAATGATTGCGAGGAAGCAGGACAAGTTCACACCGAAGATGAGAGCATTGGGGGTGAGTCACCCGATATCTCCCATGTGAAGCAGCAGGCTGAAGCCATATCAAGCATCTAGAACGGATTTTTGTGAAAGCGACGAGTCATTGCCATTATCTGAGTCCAGTCCTGAGCTAAGAAGACGATACCGCATCCTCACGGACTTGATCAACAGACTTATAGAAGCTAGACCCAGGATTGTCTTTCGGGCACACTACATAGTGCCTGGGTTCGAAAACGCCCTTCCGCTCTTAGACAGCAAGGCGCCTGATTCCAATCACGTCTATGGTCTCATACACTTTTTGAAACATGGCGAACCTGCTTGGACTTCTGATGGCTTTGAACATGAAATGAGCAAGGTAATATCTGCATGTTATCGCTGTGGTAAGGAGGGGCGAAGTAAAGGTTCATGGGTTATGGACTATGTCCGACCGCTCTTAGACTTGGCCATTGATGATCTGCCATTGGATTCGTGGAGCGTGTAAGCCACCGTGCACAAGTCACAGCAAGAATTTGGAAGCTGATAGAATTCGTTGCAGGCAAGCAGAGCCTGTGAGGGACAAGTATCTGCCTGCTCATAGTGCGAGAGGCATGTTCAATCATAAAGTTGACTTAGTCGTTGGTCTACCGAAAGAGCCTTGGAATGAAAGTTATACGCTCGCCGGGATAGATATCCCCGATCGAGATCTGAGTCACATCGAGCATCCGCACACAGGGAAAAGACTACTTGGCCTCGGCGTCAAAGTCAAAGGGTTTGACGGTACTCGTGATGAAGCTCGCGTACAATTGGGAGTATGGATGGCTGGTCTAATGTCTTGGGCTCATGATTCTTATCGACATGTCTGTCCAGATATTCCCCCTCCACCTGTTATCGGATGCACAGTGGTGGGATCTGTTTGGAGATTCTACATAATATATGCGATGGGTTGTTCTTCTGGGAAGTTAAAAGATGTGGTACGCTAATTCATGCTTATCGCTTTGTATTAATTTTTGAACTAACATCTGCAGTATATCTCGGGTCCCATTCCTGAGCTTGAGGGGGATGCCACAAGCCGAAAACGCATGCTTGAACTTGTCATCACCCTGAACCGTGTTATGCAGTATATTCGCTGGAATTATGCGCCGCAAATGTTTGGTCGCCTTGTCTTGAACGTCTGACGAGCCGAGTCTCACGCTGGTTCCATTTTCTTTCCCTCCATAGCAGAACTGGGCAATGGTCACGTTGACCAGTGTCTGAATGTCTCTTCTAGCTAGTTAGTTTACATCGTGTCACTGACCAAGAATCTGAACGGTTGCTTTCCTCTCTAGATGTTGGGAGCAAGACTGACTGTCTTTAGAAGAGATTGATCGATCGGGGGTGGCCTAATCCATATCAACACCACCTTACTTAAACTACTTATAGAGCGTTCCATCCTCCCAGGAAACATTGAGGCATTGCATCATTATCCTCCTAATCATTTTGATCTTCACCTCAACACTATTCTTGCGTACCTTAGCGCTCCGGCGCTAGCTTCCGCATTTGGTAGTACTTTGCGAGGTGCATAACCAGAGGATTTTATGGTCTGTTAGTCAGCTTGCTTTATTGGCATATCTAATCATTGCGATGTATAGTATGTTGCAGTCTACCTAATTTCTTGTTACAAGAGAAGTATTTGGTAATTGGGTAGTTCTACATTCTATCTGGGTTCTATCGTGATGTGGTATGACATGATGGATAGCCGGTAGAGCTAGTATAAATGGAAAGACCATTGTGTCATTGCCGCATAATATGTATCCCCCTAGTCTACATACATATATTGGAGTGTTCCGATATACAATTGGCTAGTCTCACGCAATAGACGTCGAAGCCGAAGCCATCTTATGAAGCGGAAAGTTCCTAGGGTCACTGTCCTTGTTGTAAGTATGGGCGGCTTTCCACCGGCGACGTAGGAGCGTAAATACAATCAAGGAGATAATTGCAATCCCGGCGACGGCAGAGCCGACACTAATGCCTGCGATGGCGCCTTTACTGAGTCCGGAGCTGCCGGAACTACTGCTGGTGGATGTCGCAGCTGAGGTGGAACTGCTGGTAGTTGTGCTGGATGCGCAGATAGATCCGCGCCATTGGTGGAAGGTGCCATCTTGGCCGGCACAGTCTCTGGGTTTTGTAAGACTTGGCTGGTAATGGTGTAGGGGAGGTGAGGGGAGGGGAGGGGGTACAGACGAGAAGATGCAGTCTTGGGTTTGGGTGGCGAAGGAATCTGAGTCACAATAACATGCTGTGTTGTTGCTGGGTGTTGGGGTTAGCTTTTGTGGGTTGCGAAGGTGTAGGAAGATGTGGGTACGTACTAGTTGCTAGACGAGCAAACACCACCGACAGTGTCGGCGGCAGTAGACTGGCAGTCTAGGATGCAGCTACTCAGGGTTATGGTTGAAGTTGAGGCAGCTGCAGTTGCGGTGGTTGTAGCAGAAGATCCTCCGCACTGTGAGCCACGATAGGTGTGGAAAGATCCGATATCATCCGAGCAGCTCCTTTTCTCTGGGTTAGCATCTGTAAACGGTCACACTAAGAGTGATTTGTTCATACTTTTCTAGGCACGATTGAACATCAATTGGGAAGTCACCGTTATTGCAGTAGCAGCTGGTCTGATTGCTGTGTGTTGATCATGAGATGCTTGCTCGAAGAAGCGGACGTAATTGTATTCGACTCACTAGTTGCTGGTGCTGCAGTCGCTTGCTGCAGCCTCGGCTTGGCAGTTGAGGATGCACTCACTCAAGCTTAGCGCTGTCAGTATAGGCACAGCGTTAACTGTGGCAGCCAGATGATACTCACCCATTGACCGCCGAGATAGCTCCGAGGAGTAGCAGAGTGATAGTTAACTTCATTGGGGAAAACAGTGTGGTCTATTTCGGAGGTATTTCTTGAAGGAAGAGCCAAGCAACTGTTTAAATAGGACTGAGCAAGGTTATGAACTCGATGAGCACCTTGAACGGCCTATGTCTTCGTCAAGATGAGAGGAGAGGACGCGGGAGTTGAACTTGTTCGAAATGCTCTGGTATCCAATTCCAAAGTCGTTCTGAGGCCGCTATATAGTGCTCATTCTCGGGAAGAACCATCCGAAAACGAAGTCGTCGTGGAGCTCCGTCTCGCACCCCCTCATCTCTACAGCCAATGTCAATTGACATCCTATATTGCATCTAAGACACGGGTCAAGGGTGAAATCCTGGGCATCCGTCATGCGCTGCACAGCTGTACGGAGAAGGAAGATGCCAGTGAAAGTGGTGTGAGCTCGTAGACTTCCCAACCGAGATATAGAAGGACCAGAATCGGTTGCAGGGGTATCCTATATGCGGTCAGATGTGGTTGGAGGAATTGGAAAGGATGCCAAGCGCAGGATGATAGTACATCAGGGCTGAGTGGGACTGGCGAGCCAACCCACGAGACACCTGGATCAGATAAGATAAATCAGCTGCTTAAATTGGCCCGGAACATCAACTCCGATGCACGATCAGCATTGAGTACCCTTATAAGGAGCCATTTTATCCACGGATTGCTGCCGGTCGTTCCGATTTCAGCCAACAACGTTCCCCGCGACTGAGTGGGTCAATAATACCCGGGTTGATGTATCCTACCGACTGAGGTTGGCATCCGATGCATTGTACATTGATATCGTTATCTCCGAGGCCCGAATCTGCTTCCCGATTCTTGGATGGGACCGCGAGAGACTGAACGGGCCACCCGGCTAAATTGCAGGCAGGATGTCTGTTAGCTGTCGGATGTGCCGTGATGGCGACATCGAGTGACATGTTCCAACCTATGGTCGGGTAGTACTCCTACTACCTCCATGTGACTCTCATGTCGAAGCGCTTGTTCATATCTCCCCTTCCATGCCTCTAGTCTCAGCTGTGTGAAGTGGAGACCACGTCACTTCGGGTTTCTGCCCCTGAGAGACCCAAATCTGATCTACTTCATAAGGAGCTTGGCATGACTTCTATTTCAACGGGCGTTTCCTTTCCTGATATATTGCCTCAGGCATCCAAGTTGTGGCTATCCAACAGTCATGAAGCTCGATACCAAGGGGATAGCTTGGGCTTTATTGCCATGGACGGTGGCATCCAGCCCATTCCCAGCCGAAGAACGACTTGCTGCGCCAGATGGCTCCACTTATGCCAACCACATCTTCAATGCTCTGCATAACTCCATGAAGATGTTCGGCAGCGTCATGCAGCACAATGGGATGTCCGTCTTCATTGCCACGGTACCTGAAGGAACGGAATTCTACCACGGTACTTCCAGTGCATATCGTATCAACGGAACTGAGTGGCTGGCTTTTGAGCCGGAGCATGCCATGGCTTTTGCCCATCCTGGTCGGATTCGTCGTCAACAACCCTCTAGGACTAATAACCCGCCACTTGACGATGAGGAGGGTGGCAGTACGGAGAAAGGCCATGATAAAAATTGGAAAGGGTCATTTAAACATGCAAATGATTTCGAATCGGAAACTGGTAGCTGGGTGCAGGATCATGCTCGGCACCGCGAACATGTAAAACCATACCGTGCAGGCTCTCGCGATAAGTATCAGAAAGAGTCGGTTCACCAGCAAAGTGGCTCTGATTCGGACAACAGCGGCTGGACTCAGGATCATACCCGGCAACGCAAACATGTGAAACCATATCGTGCAGATTCTCGCGGTCACGCAAAACACCACAAGCTTGACATGACTGCCGAAAGCACGGCTCACCCAGGCCTCTTCACTCGCCAGTGGAAGAGATTGCAGTCAATGGTCCGGTATTTCCTAAATGATCAAGGGGAACACCACAAAGTGGTGGAAAGTCTCGACTCGCAAGCTCTTCATAAATCTCACGATGGTCATCATAACAAGCCTGGCCACCAGAGTCAGTCAACTATTGAGGAGCATCATGACCAGTCATCTTCCATGTCCACCGAACCCACGGCGGAAGAACAGACGGGATATTTCCACACCTATCGCACTAAGCGTGTATTACGTCTTGTCTACTTTGATGGACAGTCAGCTGCAAAATCTCTCAAGGGTACCCTCGACATGCAAGACATCGTCCTTCGAAACGCAACCCTATTCGATGGCAGCCCAGCAGAGGGTGATGACCTACGTGCCGATGACCTGTGTGCCATGGCCCGCGATCAGTGGGACAATCGTATTGACGGATTCATTCGAATGGTCGGTGGCTTCGAGGTTATTCTCTGCTCATTCGCCGATAACCTCGACGTTGTGAGCATCCACAGCACCTACCCATCGCGCAATGGCGACGGAGGATCCCACCTCAGCTATGCCCGAGCACTTGCTACCCGATTCGACGGCATCGGGGGTGGCAGGGTGTCCATCAACTACGACGACTTTGTCACGATGTTCGCATACCCGGGGGCAATGTACTTTGACGAGCAGGGCCTTCCCCGGGTGGTCGACGATGCTGCAAAGCTGGGGCCCGTACGCGCACACATTGACCGACTAGTCAGAGGACCTGACGCGACAACCCCCGGTATTAACTGGCAAAACGTCATTGACATGATCATGACCAGATACCAATACCGCATCAGCCTGGCACTGTCTCCAGCCATTTCCACTCACCATGAACTTCGGCGTGAGCTCCACCTCGCTATCGAGCCATTTATCAACGCGCATGCGCGCAACTCGACTGCAGAGATTGAGCGTTGTGCCAAGCAGTTCTGGGTCTCAGGCGCTGATACTACCACTGTTTCGGCTCAAGCAGTTTCTCGGGTCTCGGAGCGATTGTGCTCGAGTTTGGTTGCTGGCGCGAGCGCAGAGACTTATGAGGAGGGCATTGCAATTATTGAGGATCTAAAGCACTACTTGGATTGGGCGGTCTTCAGGGAGTGCAATAAGTGCAAGATAGACGAGGTTTGTCAGCTCCCTATTTGGCCCTCTGGCTCCAAGGAGGATTTCGTTCGGCCGCGGTGTGGTACCGGTCTGGCTCATGGCTCGGGCGGCTATTGGGACATGATGGGCAAAATCCGTCAGCATTAGTATGATCCTATTGTTGTGTCTGGAACAAGGGGACTGGTATAGGTGGCCATCGTGTACATCGCATCGCGCTTGTCATCCTAGCAGTATCTCATTTTATTGAAGGTTGTCTGGCTGGGTCGTTTCGTAGGCTTGGCCATTTCTGGGTGGACGCCCAATGACGCATCTCTACTATGCATATAATGTAGCTGTAAACCTTTGACTCTCCGAGTTTGTGTAGAATGGGGTTGGTAACTTCGTGGTTCTTTTCGCTCGAGGTATAGTTGTTGTCGTGTTGTAACACTAGTCCCAATCATGCTGTTGGGTGAGAGTAAACTAGTAAACTCGCACGAGGGCCGATCATTGAATTTTGGGGCAACACATCCACAATATAGCTGAGGCGATAAGTGCTATGTTTGAAGTGCCGCGATGGAGTTCTGCGCTTGATTGATGATAGTAGTGTTGACAGGCTGAGGTTGAGTGGTGAAGAGCAGGTACCATCCCTCTATAGTAGTAGGAGCAACGGTACCTGTAAAATATATTCAGCCAACCTGCCCCTGACCAACAAGTGGTAACAGCACCCAACACTCAAGTACATCGCTCATTCTAGCTCGTGACTGTAGCCCGGGGGATGCCAAAGCTCAATTATGTGCAAACAGAGCATTTCCTACTCCCCAGTTGTATGATCTTATATGACGAATGTCACGATACGGCTACTTGCTCTCTGGAAACCAGATGACATTGAATAAGACTCATAGACCTGAAAGATCAACCGTGTTTCAACAAGCAACGCCCGGGTGGTCTAGTGGTATGATTCTCGCTTAGGGATACAAACCCAAGCATATCTGCGAGAGGTCCCGCGTTCGATCCGCGGCTCGGGCCGTTTCATTTTTTGGTTTTCTCTTTTTGCACCCCCTAGCGAGAAAAGGAAGAAAGGACACAACAAGAAAGATAGATAGGATAGATAAATAAATAATATGAGGAAACCACATGCTTACTACCTTCTCTATTAACATTTTAGTCCTTCCTCCCCAAAGCTCAGACCGCTGTAACATGCAGCTTCATTAGCAGTACCACCCGTAGGAACCGTCGTTCCTCCGTTCATTGTACCCATGTTCTGCGCATCGCTACATCTGTAGCAGCTAAGGTTCTAATTGATCAAAGCGTCTGAGTATCATATATAAGTATTTGCATTATAGAACATAGGATATTCACATAGAAAAATATCAGCACAGATCGTAACCGCCAACCAACAAACGCCCTCGAATGATTCGTCGCTCCCAACGGGCTAGAATACAATGATAGTCATAAGATCAACCCGCGTGGTTGAAGCCTTCTTGCTGCCAATCGTCTCCATGGAGCTGCTGGCCCGTGTAGCCACCGCTACCGCTGCCACCCCCGCCGGCCATCGCAGCCGCAGCGGCTGCACCAAGGCTTGCGCTGCTATGCTTCTCGATCTCCATGGTACTCATCATATACAGCATGACGAATATCAAGATGTGTAGAGCAAAGCAGTAGCCCGCAAAAAGATTCCGGCTCGTGCGGTTAGCGAGAATGATCCGGGTAAGGGAGAATACGATTCGCTCCGGTAGGCTCATGCGCTTGTATGCACGCGTAGATTCACGGCCCCGGAAGGCGGCAAATGGTGAGATCTGAGCCTCATACGCGGATTGATAACGATCAAGGGAAAGCCCTGACGGCGTGTCCGCTGATGGGTGGATGGACGAGGCATTGGGCCTGCTTGCGTAAGCAGAGGCGGACGATGATGCGCCTGGGCCACGGTTGTATGTTGAGACATAGCGTGTCTTCTCATACAGGCTGAGGTTGTCTTTTTGTAGAGAAGCCACCTCTTGCCTCAAGGACTTCACTGTGCCGTACAGCTTCGACAGCTCTTCCTCCAGCTCAGCGTTCTTCTTCTTGAAACGATCACGCTGGGCTTGGATCATAGGCAAAAGACCCGAGCCGCCCCCGACTGGCTCTCCCGCACGGATGGAGTCCATCGTGTTGGCTGAAGCCATGGACTGGTCAAAGCCCGAGATGATGGACGAGGTGGGCGACACTGCGCCCTTGCGGGATGAGTGTGGGTACTTGGAGGTGTAGGTACCAGCAACCGACATCGCCGAGGACGGGAATGTGTTCGCAGCCTCCTCTTGTACACGGAGAAGATCATTCTCCAATGTGGTAGAGAGCTTCTGCGACTTCTCCAACTCCTCTTTCGTGGTGGAGAGATCCTCGCGGAGAGTCTCTAGCTGACCCTGAAGGTCGCGATGGGATACTCGTAGAATGGTGAGCTCGTCTGTCAGCTTCTTATTCCTGGCGAGCAAGAGCTGCTCCAAGCTATTTTTGTTCTTTGACCCATCCTGGGACTTGGTAGCCGCGCCGTTGGCGTTCGCAGCGTCTGTAAGATCGGCAGCATCGTCGTCATCACCAGGCGAGAATTCAATAGACTGTGACTGTCAGATAGCCAATCAGAATAGAAGGGTATTGACATATTACCTTGATCATCTCCAGTTCCCGACGGATGTCTTCATAGTCAGCGACCTTCTCCAACTTTGAGCGCAATTCTTCCTTCTCAGCCGTAACATTTGTGATCTGCCTCTCAGCCTGAGAGTACTTGGACTCCCAGGTGTGTCGCTCAGACTCCTTGTCAAATCGTGCAGCTTCAAGTTTGCGCAAAAGGGACGAGTTCTCCGACTGAAGACGCAGGTAATCAGGGTCATCTTCGACGGACGCTGCGTGGCCCGATTGCGAGTGGGAGACGGCTTGAGCCAGCTCGAGCCTGAGTTGCTCATTTCTCGCCTCGACTTCCGCCAGCCTCAGGCCTGTCTTCTCCAACTCAGTCGAAACTAATTCGAGTTCCGCAGCGCTAGCTCCGTGGGTGCTCTCGCCGCCCTCTTCCTCCTGGCCCAAGCGTTGTGACACCTCGTAGCTTGCCTTGAGCTCCTTCACCAAGCGCTCCTGATTCTCCACCTTCTCTTCCAGACTCTTCTCCTTGGCCGTCCAATTGTTCGTCTTCTCCGACAGCACCGCCGACCACGACTCCTCAACCTCCTTGATTTTAGATTCCTGGTTCTCCTCTAGCTTCTTCCTGGCCGCCCGTTCTTCTTGGAGGCGCTTCTCCGTATCCTCCAGCTGAGAGGTGAGGCGGTCGACGGAGCCTTGCAGGCGATCACGTTCCGAGGTCAGTTTGGGGACGGTTTCTTCGGAATGGACGAGGGAATCGATGGATGCTTCAAGGAGAGGGTAGGGATCAGGCGCTTCGGACAATGATGAATAGAGCTGTAGGAAGGCGGACGAGGAGGCCTTGCCCTGGTTCGTGAGAAGATCGATGAACCCCTGGTAAGCTGTGAAATGTCAGCGACGGCCGGACGAATGCGGTTAGCACACCACGAACCTTTCAGAAGACCCTTGTACTCGGCAAGCTTCGAAGAGTCATCTAGCTTCCGGAAGTCCTTGGTCTTCTGGGCGAGATCTTTGCGCTGGACGAGTGCATCGCGCTGCTGAGCGACGATGTCAGATGCGGTACTGTCTAGCTTTGCGACCGTACTGGCGAGATCGATACCTATATCGAGGGTCTCGTTAGCTGCCGGCTACTTCGGCCCAAAATCCTAAGATCGAGGCGACAAACCTCGCCAGGCCGCAATGGCACGCTGGAACTTGTTGGCTCCTTCCGGTAACTTGCCGGCGGCGGGCTCGGAGTTGTGACCATCCTGGCTATTGTCAGGGACAATGCCTTCGGTAAGGGCGAAAGCGTCCATGGTTGAGATTTGGGAATAATCCGCTTCAATGGAGCAAGAATCAGCGCAACACCCCCATCCAAGACCGGACCGGCAACACCACGACTATCCAGAGAGGGACAAGTAAATGAAGCCAGTTAATGTGAAACTACAGCAATGCGGAGTGACACGCCGACCGGGCCGATGATCTTCCGAAGACAACAATGAGCAGAGATGCCCAATCGCGTGATGAGATGGCGTGTATATGCAAGGAAGAGATGTTCTCTTTATGACAAGACAAGATACTGATAGTCAGGATTCTAGTGAGTTGACACTTCAAGACGAGATTCTCCTGGATCGATGCCGGTAGGTTCCTATCCGATCGTGGTTCAGCCCCGTTATTTATAGCAACTTGGCCACGTTCGTCTCAGATAGGGCCTTTTTCAGGTAAGGATATGCTGAAGAGACCCCGAGTAAGCAGTGGCTTGAGATGTATCATATGTGCTGTCTGCAACCTAAAGTCTGCCTCGTCAGTGGTGATGAAGCAGCTGAAGCTGTCACAATTGCAGTCAAAACGGCTGAACTATCAATACGCAGATCGATGCTTATACTTGCACCTAAACACGGAATTGGTTCAAGCAGACAGTATTCATGAAGTAGAAGATTACTGCCCATCAATTGCAGTTCTTCACAAGAAATAACTATAGTTAAAGTGATAGACTGATAACTAACTGCAATCATAGAATGGACTCCACCTGAGTCAGCAGATAACCCCGGGCGGGTCCACCCGCGCCCAGCCTCGCCCGTCTGAAGCTCCTCCCAGTTCCTGTCCTGATCTTCCTTCCCCTCACGTCCCCATCCTGTCAGGAACCATCTCTCAAGACACCGAGCTGGCCTCATCATGGTGTCGGAAGAGGAGGGCATCAGCCCGCGCAAAAGGCGGAAGATTGGCCCTCCAAAAGCTGCAGCTTATGTGTTCCGGTCTCTCTTCGACCAGGTGCCCTTGAATGCGGACAATGATGACGAGGATGTCCATATCACCTGCGTCGAGTATTGGAGTGCGTCCAGCATTGTTGATGAGAGAGCCAAGCTAATTGGATGATTTCTAGATGACAATCTATACATTGGTACCTCTGCCGCCGAGATCCTGCATTTCGTCTGCCTTCCACCGGACCCCTCGGACAAGTCGAACGAGCCATCATTCATCCTCGCCTCAAGACTACCAATCCCTTTCTCCCAGCCTCCGTCAGCAAAGCTTCCGGGAATACAGCAAATTGTGTTACTGCCAACGGTGAACAAGGCGTGTGT